TTTTTTTTTTTTTTTTTTTTTTTTTTTTATGAGACAGAGTCTCACTCACTCTGTTTGTTGCCCAGGCTAGAGTGCTGTGGTGCAATCTCAGCTCACTGCAACCTCTGCCTCTTGGGCTTAAGCGATTCCCCTCCTCAGCCTCCTGAGTGGCTGGGACTACAGACATGCGCCACCACACCTGGCTAATTTTTTGTATTTTTAGTAGAGACAGGGTTTCACCATGTTGGCCAGGCTGGTCTCGAACTCCTGACCTCAGGTGTTCTGCCTGCCTTGGCCTCCCAAAGTACTGGGATTACAAGTGTGAGTTGCTACGCCTAGCTAAAACACTTTCTTTAAGGGGTTTTGTTAGATAAGAGTATAAGCTGTAGCAAAGCTAATGATTACATTTGGAATAATGTTGTTATAAAGTAGAAGAAACATATTCCTTATTTATTTAATTATTCCAACATTTGTAATTCTGTGTCAGATAAGACAGGCAGAAGTGGTAGAAACAGAAACTCAGGAACCCCGAGTATGGCATACCAAGTGCTATTGGACAGAATCATTGAGCATCTTAGAGTCCTCGTCTTCTCTTATTAGAGAGTAGGCTCCAGAAGAACAAAGTTTGCATTCAGCCAGGGAACCAAACAGACAAATGTCTCAAACAGTATCTGGCACCTAGTAGATACATGGTAAATGCTTATTTAATAATCAGTATGTAAAATGAGAATAACACATGTGCCTTTCTGATGCTAAATTAAATAAAATAATAGGTAATTTAGCTCTTCAAATTGAAAATAATATTTTCACTGGAGAACTGCATGGTTTATGAGAATGATTGCTGCTCAGTACAGATCATAGCAGTTTAAAAAATGTTACTTTCTGTATAAAAATAAGTATTTTAGAAATGACATGCATACAGTGAGGCAAGAGCTCTTATTATATCAGTATAAACATAAGAGCAAGTCTCTAATTATAAGTTTTTGTCTATAAATGTTATCCACATTTAATGCAGTGATTGTGCTTGTTTTGTTCCTTAGCTTAAAAATAATGAGGAAGGTGATATGGCAATAGTGATGTATTTTTAATTATAATTTTATTTACTTTTCTCTCATTTGTTTAAATGCAATGTATTTTAATATTTTTATTTAGTTATACCATCCCAGAAGAAGGAGATATTTTGAAATTTAACTCCAAATTTGAATCTGGGAATCTGCGTAAAGTAATTCAAATTAGAAAGTAAGTCACTTAAGATTTTCTCATTTTGTATGTGCACAGATATTTTCCTAATTTTTATTAGATTTCTTTGTCTTCTGTTTTCAGAAATGAATATGATCTTATTCTGAATTCAGATATAAACAGCAATCATTACCATCAGTGGTTTTACTTTGAAGTGAGTGGAATTCGGCCAGGTGTTGCTTACAGGTTTAACATCATTAACTGTGAAAAGTCCAACAGTCAGTTTAATTATGGTAAGACAGTTTTCTTTCCCAATTGAGATGGCATGCAGGCATCTTAACTGTAGAAAAGAAGTTTTTTAAAAAAATTATCAACTTTAAAAAAATGTTTCAGTGTCTTGTTTTCTCTAGTTCTTAAAATTCAGGTGTTACGCAACATTTCAAATAGAGTCTGGTAACTCTATCTCAAATGTTGCAAGTCCTTTAAAGTGTAATGATTGATTTCATCCAAATTGAAGGCAACTAAAGGTTTACTAGTATCCTCCGATGGTGACATCTGATTGTGTAATTTTTCTTGATGGTGACATCTGATTGTGTAATTTTTCTTCTTTAGCCTGCTACTGTGGTATATTATGTTGATTTATTTTCGAATGTTGAATGAGACCTCCCCTTTTTTTTTTTTTTTGGAATAAACCCCACTTGGTTATTGTGTACAAATTGCTAATATTTTAAGAATTTTTTTATTTCTACTAATGAGGAATATTGGTCTATAGTTTTCTTTCTTTTCTTTTCTTTTTTTTTTTTTTTTTTTTGGGGGGGGGGTTTTGGTACTGTGTCTGCTTTTGGTATCATGGTATTACTGACCTCATGAAATTAGTTGGGAAGTGTTCCCGCCTCTTATTTGCTGGAAGCACTTGTGTAGCATTGGTGTTAATTTGTAAACTTTGATAGAATTCTGCAGTGAAACCATCTGAATCTGGAGATTCCTTTCTTGGTAATCTTTTACACTGGAAATAAAATTTCTTTTTTCTTTTTGAGATGGAGTCTCACTCTGTCGCTGAAGCTGGAGTGCAGTGGTGTGATCTCGGCTCACTGCAACCTGTCAGATTCAAGTGATTATCCTGCCTCAGCTCCCCTGAGTGGCTGAGACTACAGGTGCATGCCACCACGCCCAGCTAATTTTTGTATTTTTAGTAGAGATGGGGTTTTGCCATGTTGGCCAGTCTGGTCTCAGACTCCTGACCTCGAGTGATCCGCCTGCTTTGGCCTACCAAAGTGCTAGGATTACTGTGAGCCAGTGCACCATTAGAAATGAAATTTCTTTAATAGTTATTAGGGCTATACAAATTATGTCTTCTGTCTTGAGTGAGTTGTGGTAGTTTGTGCTTTTTAGGAATTGGTCCATTTCTTCTAAGTTGTTAAATGTATGTGCAGGGTTGTGGGTAGTATTCTCTTACTATCTTTTTGATTTCTGCAGGGTCTGTAGTGATAGCACCTAATTAATTCCTGTTAATGATAATTTTTTCCCTTTTTTTCTTTGTCAGTCTAACTTTAGAGCTTTATCAGCTTTATTGACTTTTTCATAGAACTAGTGTTTTGTTTCATTGGTTTTCTCTACTGTTTGTCTCATGAGACCATTAAAAAAAAAACTGAGTGTACCCACAAAACTTTAAAAAATATAGCCTCATTCAAGATTTTTGTGTTTAGTACTTTAATATATACAAAACTAAGAATTATTTGTAAAACACCTGATAGTCAAACATTATGGATGTGAAAAATAATATACTTGTATGAACTTAATATCAGCATTTTAAAATTGAATCATCAAGTTTCAAGTATTAATGTTATAATGGCAATCTTTTTGTGTAAAAGAAAAGAATTTTTTTTTTTTCTGGCATACAAGAAAACTTACATTGGGGCTTGAGAAGAACTGTATGTATGACAAGTTACAAAATCTCCAAGGTCTCAATCATTTGTTGGAAAAGATTGAAAAGCTTTTAACAACTGAGACATGAGAGCTATATCATCCATTTCATTTAAATCCTCTAAGTTGTTAAAAGCATGAATATGATAATGGTCTTTAAGGGGATATTTCTGAAAATTAATGATTTCAACCGTTGAAGGAGTCATTCCCAATGGTCGTTATTTATGTGGAAAATAGGATATTGTGTATTCTAGAATTACTTCACATGTATGAAAAAAAGCTTTTGTCAGATTCATTTATTTATGCAATAATTGTAGGAAGACTAGGTAGCATAATACCTGGTTTAGTTATAAACACTTTTCTAAGATTTTCAAATGGTTTAAGTAATTAATTTTTAAATGTTTTATCCTTTTAAATGTGTATATTTTGACTAAAAGTTGAGCAAGTATATTGATTTATGTGAATTGTGATAGGAATATTCTTGATATATTCTTTCACACTTTTTTGTGTGTGTGATTTTAAACTAATTATGGAATGTTATATTTCTCAGAAATATTTGTTAGCCTTAAGCTTTTAATTAACTTTAAAAGTTACCTTAATTGAAACTCATTCTAAGTATTATCAAAATAAGTAAAGAAACCTAGTGATTTCCCTATTTAACTGGTAATGATGCTATATACTATTTTTAGAGGATAAAAGAACAGTGAATTAAATATAATTTTATTTATATGTTGGGTGCTCCTTATGAGTAAAATATAAAGGCATATTTATTCCTGATATGATAGTCAATATAATTTTCAGAAGTGCTACAAGTATATTGCATTTTTACTAACTATATTTATTCACTTAAAAATAGAAACCATAACACTTTAATCTTTATTAAAAAATACAGTGTTTTAAATTAAATGTATACATTTTGGAGCAGTGCTTCTCTGTTTATTAAAAAAACCTATACCTTTATGTGATAGATAAAATAAATTTCTCTGGTGTCATTTGAAATTTTAAAATGAATAAAATTCTTTAATTAAAACTAATTCAAAGCAGTGGGACAGATGGCTGCTTTATTTTTAAATTTCCTCTCCTTCTTCCCCCTTCTTCTTTGGATATTCTTGCATGTATATCACACTTTCCAAACTCACTATGTAGTGAATTTGGAAAACAGAATGGTGTTAAGAAGAAAATAAAACCATTGACAATGCATCATCCAGAGATAATCACTTTAACATTTGTTGCTTCTTACCAGCCTTTTTTATAATGCAATGTATGATTTCTGCATACATATAGTTATGCATTTATTTTTTAAAAATAAGACTCATAACCCATGCAATTTCATATTCTGTATTTTAATCAAATTTTATGTTACCAACATTTTCTTTCTGGTTATTAAATATTCCTGTGAAACAGTTTTAGGAGACATCCAATAGAAGTACTATAATTTGTTTATCCAAACCTTTCTTTGTAAGACAGTTAAGTTGTTTCTAATTATTTTCTTTTTAAAATATTGCTGAGATAAATATTATTATACACGGATATATATGTTTATAATTCATAGAAGTACCAGTATGCCAGGTAAAATGCATGTTTTTCTGATGATAAAACAGTACATATTTAATACAGGAAAGTAAGTAAATTAAAAACAGTTTAAAGAACAAACTTTAGAATGAGAGCATCCAAAAAAAAATTCTTTAACATTTTGTTATCTGTTCTTAAACTTATTCACATTCACATAATTTTTAAATTAAATTTTACTCTTTTACAGATCTGGGATTACAGTATGAAAGCTTATATGTAACACTACATTTTTAAAAACTACACAATAATTTGTAAAAAAAAATAATTTCCCCATGTCCGTTAAATATTATTCAGCAGCATCGTTAGTAGTGTCTGTGTAATAGTCTGTTGAGTAAGGTACAATAAATGACTTGAATGATAACAGATTGAAGATTTAAGTCTTTCTCCACATTTCAAAATTATAAGCTGTCTTGCAGTAGATACCCTTAATTATTTGTTTTCATATATGTTTCTGATTATTGCCTTGAATTCCTAGAAGTTGGATTTCTCAAAGAGGATGAACATATGTTGCTGAAGACTAGGGAAATTGGGTACTACAGTGCTGGTGGAAGTATTAAATTAGTTCAGCCTTTTTGAAGTGCATTTGATCGTATGTTTTCAGTGTTTATATTTAACAGCACCCATCCGGATTTATTTTAGTATTTTCTGTGAATTGGGATTTAACTTAATCCTATTCTGAGTGGTTAAGTAACTACAACTAAATTCATTCTCCAAGAAGTTTTAAAATGTTGTTGATGAATTTATTGAATTGTTAGACATTTCACATTTACAACTGTGTACCTGATCCACTAATGAAAGAAAGGTACAAAATATCATTCAGAAGCCACTAAACATTGTTGCTCTGGTTTGGCTGTTACAGACAATGGTCAGGTTAGTAAAAACGGATTAGAACCTGATTGATAAAGCGTCACCATAACTTGCTTATACTTCTTTACTTTTTGAATTTGAATTCAATTATTTTGACCTCTTGGTCATGTGTCCCCTTTGGTTTGAAACACCACAGCTCTCATAATCTATGGTCCTGCATACACACTAGTATATGTTTTGGGGTTTTTTTGTTGCTCTGGTACCACTGTGTTTCTAAATTACCTTGACTTTAAAACATAATCTAATATCCTGTGGTTTTCAAAAGCAACTTAAAGACTTTTTCTACCTATTTTTTCTGAATAGTTTATTCGGAATATGATTCACAGTAATTGTATCAAATACCAAATATTTCCATTGGATTAAATTTGTAGAATAGTTTGGGAGAGACAATTTTTTTATATCCAGTCTTACTACTAAGGAACATGATGTTTTGTTTTGTTGATTCAAATTTTGTTATGCCTTCACCTTTTTAGTTTTCATTTTGTATTTCTGTTTACCTTTGTTTCTGTTGTGAAAGAGTACTTCTATTTTTAAATACTGCTTTTATTGATTTTTATATATTTACTTGAAAATTAACCTTCTTACTGAACTTTTTATTAGTTCTTATAGTTTCTGAGTTGGTACTTTGGATTTTCTTGATAGATACCTAGAATTTCTGTGATTCATAGCTATATTGTATATATTTCATTGTTTTTGAATAGAATTTTGAGAATGTTTAAAATGAAAAGGATACATTGGACATCCTTGTATTTTATTTTAACTTTAATGGGAATGCTGCTAGTATTTACATTAAGCATATTCTTGTTTTGATATTCGTATTTTTTCTATTTCTAAAAATAGAAATCTATTTTTTTAAAAATCAGATTTTTCAATATTTTTGCATTTATCAATGAATGTAATGTGACCATATTACTCTATAACCTCTGCATGT